TTTTTTCAAGAATTACTCTGGCAGAATTTGGGAAGCTGTACTCTGCAAACACAAATCTGCAAATGTCGAGAAAGAATATATTTTATGTTATTTACCTGTGATACTGGTTTCATTTCTTCTCACTTACCCTCTTCCAACATGGTACTTCCTGGTAGTCATAGCTCTTTGGAAGTGACCCTCTATAAAGCCTAATGGGCAGCAAGACCACAACTTCCAGCATTCATTGCACCTTATCAGTCAATTTCCTCTGCCATCATACAGCTGACAAGGGGACCAGTCTTTCCTGGGCACACAGGAAGCTGAGAGTTGTACTCTTAGTGCCCATTAGTGTTGATAGAGGGTGTCTCCAGAGCAGCCATGATTCCTAGGAAACACTACAGCAGGAAGTGGGGGAGATAAGAGGAAATGATGTCAGCATTAGAAGTAAATAACCTGAAAGTGTTTCTCTGTGGGGGCAAAACATCTGCAGATTTGTATTTTTGAGGTGCAGTTTCCAGAATTCTGCTAGGGGAATTCTTGGGGGAATTCTGGAACTTAAAGTCCAAAAAACTGAAACAGGACACCTCTATTACCCTCCAGGTGTGGCTGAACTATAACTCACATTAGCCTCAGCTAGCAGAGCTAATAGTGAGGATGATGGGAGTTGCAGTTCAAGAGCACTCAAAAGGCTACAAATTTCCAGTCCCAATTACAAGGATCTCTGCCCCAACACAACTATACTAACCTGCCAGAGCTATGAACTGCTTTCCTTACCAAACAGGCATTATGTTAACTGCCTCAAAAGGGTTCATTGGTCTAACAGAGGCAGAAACATCACCCAGAACCATAGGCAGGAGAATACAGTCCCTCAATCATAGCATATGACTTATGCAACTGTACAAATAAGGCATACCCAATTCAGACTTACAGCACCTAGAATCACATTCTGAGGTCACACATATCTCCTTTCATGCACAGAATTCATCATTCTCCTGGCATGTCCTTACTATAACAATAACCATTGTCATCATCATTTCTGACTTATGGTGACCCCTTTTCAAGGTTTTTTAGGTACAGAATCTTTTTCCCATTCTGTTCTGTGCAGCTTGCCCAAGGCCACATAGGCTGGCTGTTCTCCCAGGGGACACAGTGAGGAATTGAACTCCCAGCCTCTGCAGCCAGAGACCTAAACCACTGAGCCATCCATCCAGCTACTGCTTAAAAGCCTGACATAAAAATGAAGGTATTTTCTCTCGTTTCTTGTATTTTGCTTTATTCACAGTGTAAGCAAGAAAAAAAAACCCAACTTTCAAGTACCATCAGACTACATACTTCACTTGTACTGCCAACTTTCAACACTCCAAGAAATACCCAGAATGGGATGTTTACACACATTATAGCAGTTACCTGCTTGGCTGTTAGATTTATTGCCTATATTTTGGGAACACTCTTCAAAAGAAACCCCACTTCATGAAAAACAAAGCCAGGACAGTTTTTAATCTGTTTGGGTGTATAAAACACAAACCTAAACCTAATCCCTACATAAAACGCAATACAAGTGGTGCCTCGCTAGACGATAATCCGTTCCACTGAAATCGCTGTTTAGCGAACTCATTGTCTAGCGAAAAGCATTTCCCCATTGGAATGCGTTGAAACCTGTTTAAATTGCTGTCTTGCGAAGCTTACCCCTGTTTTGCGAGCACGGAGGGAGCTGTCAAAATCATCATCTAGGGAAAATCGGTTTGCGAAGCAGGGACCAAACATTGTCCAGCAAAATTCCCCCATAGGAACCACTGTTTTGCGAATCGCTATAGCAATCGCAAAAAGTCAATGTCTAGCGAAAAAACTGTCATGCGGGGTAACTGTCTAGCCAGGCACCACTGCAAACCTAAAGTTTTTTTAACTCACTATATTATAAAACCCTCTTTCTCAAGCACGGATCACCTGCTGTTAAATTGAAACGTTACAGCAAACAGTAGAGATTAACATTTGGATTACTGCAAAACAATACAACCTACTACACGTATAGCCTAGCGTTACAAGTGTAATGATCTTTAATCAATCAGTTACCCCCATGGCGAGCCAGTGGGGTTGCGGTGCGTTAGGCTGGGTGAGAGGCGGATTCAAATCCTGCCTGAGCCCCCAGCAGCTCACGGGGTAACCTCGGGTCGCTCCAATGGGCCAACTGCACAGGGTTGTTGTGAGGGGGAAAGAGGCGAGGAGAGCCCAGTAAGCTTCTTTTACACTTCGCTGGGGGTGAAAGAGCAGGACAGGCAGCAAGCACCTCACCCTAACATACATACATACATGTATGTATTATGTTTGTATGTAAACCTCTCCTTCCCCCCTCCCCAGGCTCTTACCTGGCTGAAGCGCTTGGTGATTCCGCGGCAGGTGTCGCAAGCCTGCTGGATCCGCTCCGTCGAGGCGCCCAAGCCAGGCGAGGGCGGCAGGAAGAGGAGGAGGAGGAGGAGGCAGAAAAAGGGGACCGGAGCGGGACCGGAGGCAGCGCTCAGCCATCGCCGAGGAGCGCAGCGCAGCGCACGACGGGGGGTCCCGCCCGCCCAGACTCTCATGGCTCAGGGAGCCCCACTGACGGGCACTGGCGTCCCCTCTCACTGGGCGGCGGCGGCCGCCTCCCTCAAGCCCCGGCCGGGCATAGTCCTAGGAGCTCAGGAGGAGCACTTCCAGGGGGAAAAACCGGCTTCGTGGCGGGGCCATTCCGAATCCCGCTTCAAGCCCTCCCCCTCATAGCCCAGTCAGCCAATTCCGAGACAGGCTCGGGCCCCTGGTGCCGGCGACTGCTAGGCCGTGGTCCAATCCAAGGCCGCCACGCTCCGAGCCAATAGGAAT